GGCGGGGGGTGTGATGGAGCGGGGAAGGCAGGTACGAAGCGTAGGGGTAGTCCGTCGAGGCGCGGGGTTAGAACGATTACGCTTTCCAAACCCCTGGTCGTTCGACCGCGTCACTGGCACCGCCACTGGCACCACCATCGGCACCACCACCGTATCTACCCCCGCGTCGCCCACACCCCCATGTATGTCCTATCACCATCTGTCTTTCTCTCTTTCTTTCACCCTGTCCCGTGTCTCGCGTTTCGTCCCCGCTTAACCCTACCAACCCTTTTGCTCACCTACATCCCCCTGTCCCGTTCCAGCGGAGGCTGTATGGTGCCCGAACAATCCTATTCGTTTGTTTCCAGCCCGTATGCACGCATATACGAAGGCATGCAATTTCGCGTTAGGAATGCGCGAACGAGCGCATCGCAGACAATGTTTGGGGTGGACGGAGTACGAGGCGTGCTTCTTTGGAAAATGCCATGGCGAGAGGGCTTTAGGACGACCAGAGGGGTTGGAATACTGTCTGGTCCGTTTATACGCTTCAACCTCCTAAAGAAAAAACAATTTTCGTTGCTCTTGTTCACCACGATGTTACACAGTAAGATGTCCGTATCTGGGTTCTCGGTATTGGTTGTTTCAAATATCCGTGGGTAACCGCAGTTGGAAAAAATAAATACGGAACGAAATGTGTATACACGAAGGTACGAATAACGTTGCATCGCGTACGCCATTCATTTTATTTTACCTTATCCCATAGATATTATCACATAACGTTCATTACTATAATTTTACCGCTACATCGTATTAAATTAAATCGCGTTACACCATAAGTAATAACATACTATCAAGTTGTAATATACTTATGGTAATAAGTATGCACAGTATACGTGTAGCGTTACCTACTAATCGTGGAAGAGTTTGAAACTTATCCCCCGCGATCTCGTTTATTTATTTATCTCATTTAACGAGAAATAAATAAAATTCAAATAAAATTCAAATTAATTTAAATAAAAATTGGACAAACGTGTCGTGTACAGTGACAATTTAGATCAGGTGAATGACGAGTACGCAAGTGATAGAACGGAATCGCCTGTACAGACAGACGCGAAAGCACGCGTACGCGGCCTCGAGTCACGGCTATGCAGGCCATCTTAGGAAGCGAGCACCCCTCGGCATTCCAGCGATCTCGACCGATCGAGAATCGAAGGATAACAGGAACGCGGCGCCGAGTGGCCGCGTGTGTGTCGGCTGTCCGGCAATCCTAATGATGCATATCTCTCCTCGGCCCGTTATGTCTTGAATGTCACGACGATGCGATATCTGGCGGACCGGTATCGGTCGGTGAGGCTGTTGCTGGGGGTCAGTGGGGGGATTGAACAACGGGAGAAGCACGAAAGCTAGCCGGAATCAGGGTGGTATATGGTCGCAATGAGGTTGAGAGCTTGCGGCCGGATGCCAGTCTAACCATGTCTAGCGTACGTTTACTTGCAAGCTTGCCAGACGCTCGTACGCATCGCCAGCATCCGAGCAATGCGACTCAAGAGTCCGCGTCGCCGCTGACGATGCACTTCAAGATGCAGTCTCTTGGTAAGCACGCTCCTGCCCTCAGGATTGGCCCGTTCGTCGTCCGCCAATCTGCATCAGGGTGTTTTAACGTAAACGTGACTTGGCGTGTATAGAGAAGAGGAATCACGCTGATCCGTGCTTGAGATGCTCGAATTTTTAGATTATACTTTTTCGACAAACGTTCTGGGTATTAGATTCTATATAGGATGCATCTTGTTTAAAGTTGACGTACGTGGCGGAGGAATGATGCTAGACTTTTCAAGGGATGCTTCCTACAAACAAGCGTCCTTGATAGTAATTTTTTAAGGAATAGTACCGACTGTATTAGGAGGTAGAAAGATTTCTTATGGGATGTTCAAACAGATACTCTTATTATGAGATTGCCTAGAACGTGTTCTATTTGGCGTTAACGTACATAGAAAAGGTATAATGGAAACTGAGAAATAAAAGAATTTTCTTAAACGATAATTTCTAGGTTCTCACGATATTTGGTTCCGTATAGGATATATTTCACTTACCGTTGAAGTATGATAACGAGGACAGTTAAAATTAAATTGCAGATTCTGCACTTCGACAAATCGTTTTTCTTTCTCTCTTTCTCTCTTTCTCCTTCTCTCTCTCTCTTTCTCGAGTTATTATTTCTGCGGTTGGAATTCATTCGTGCGAAAAATAAACGAAAACGCGGTGTTACCACTTCTTCACCTTTAAACGCGTTATTCCTTTCAGAGAGGAGGCGTGGTCGCCAGCTCTACATTCGATGGGATGGAAAAACGCGAATTCCATTTAGCATACAAACGCGGGCCCACGCAAATGAATTTTATAAGTGTCCTTTTCGCGAGAACACGCGCGTATTTCGACGCTTTGGCTGCGTTAACCCGGCGGGATTCGAGGACGCGCGATGGGTAATAGGCGGCCGCGAACGAAATTTCCACCCTCCTGTTCCCTGCGCCGGCCACCCCCTCGCGCGGCACAGTGTGTGCGTACACCTCGCGCATTCCGCAGCGAGATTGCGCAAAAATCGGGCAAAACAAACGCAACTAATTTAACTGCTTTCGAACAATTAATCCGAAGCATTTAATTTAATTGCGCCGCAGCCCGTCGAGACCGGGCAGCGTCAGTTGAA